CGCCGCCCCGGGGAGTGGGTTTTCCTCCGAGGGGCTGCTGCCAGCCCCGGGGCGCCTTTCCCTGTCCCCCACGCCCACCCCCCTCATGACTCACGCGATGTCTCATTCCCCGCCCGCCCCCGGTGAAAACTTCCCCCGGTAACTTTCCCGGGGCCGGTTCCCCGCTCCCCCCTCTCCGATGGCGGGGCACACACACCCCCTCATCCCAAGCCCCGCTGGAGTCACTGACGGCGGGGCGGCGGTGCCGGGGGGAGATGTCGTAGTCGCCGCGTCAGCGGGAGCCCGACGGCGATTGGGGGAGGCCGCCTTGTCCCCGCGGTCACGAATTATAAAGTGCCGCCGCCGCCGCCCGCACACGCTCCGCAGCGGCGCGCCCAGCCCCGGCAGCGGGCTCGGCTCGGAGCCCCCCGAGCCGCCCTCGCTGGAGCTGCCAGAAGCCCCCGGCTGCGCACGCCTCCCCTGGGGCTTCTCCAGAGGCTGCTCGGTCTCGCTATAAATAATAGCGGTTCCGACGCCGAGGGTGCAGAAAGGCGCAGCTCCTTCCTCGGCAACTCTACCGGGAGCCCCGAGGGCAGCCTGTGTGTGAGTTGAGCTGCTCCGCCCGCGGTCGGGACCGAGGGAGGAGCGGGGCGGCTCTGCCGGGGCTGGTGCCCGGCGTCGGGGCGGTCGCTCGGGGTGTCCCGGTGGGAATCCTTTCCCGGAGGGGCTGGGGTCCCATCCGTGCCGCTCCGCGGGGGTTATCTTCTTCCCCTGTGGTGCCGGCTTTTGCAGGAAGGGAGGGATAAAGTGTTTGGAAACGAACACTTTCACCAGACGGGATCTTCCGGGCGCTTCACCCTCCGGGTCCGCTCCAGTTCCGAACGCAGGTCTGTTGCCTTGCAGCYGCCAAGCGCTCGCTTAGTTTTAAGYTCCCGCTTACCTCGCAAGCGSAGCCAYCCCGACTCCAAAAAGCGTGCGAGTTTAGCGGAGTTGGTTTGAACCCTTTCATGCCGCCTTTTTCTGCTCCGAGGCTGGGGGAGGCAGTGGCGCGGGTGGGAGCGGGAGGAGGCGGCTGCCGGCTGACCTGTCCTTCTTGCAGCCCCATGGCGTTGCTCCTGAGACTCGGCTGCTCGCTGCTGGCCCTCAGCATCTGCCTGCTCCCGACGGCGCGGGCTGACTGCGGCCGCGACTGCGCCGCCTGCGCCTACCGCCTGGGACCCCGCGCCGCCATCCACCCCCTGGTAAGCGGCACCGGGGCCGGGGGCCGCCTCAGCGCCCCGGAATCCCCGCGGCCGGGCCTCTTTCCCCCTGACCTCGAAGGGAGGAAAAGGGAACGGGGAAAAGCAGCGGGATAAGAAAAACAGATAGTAGGGGAAGTGACCGCGGTCGCTTGGGAGACCTTTTTCTGAAGGAAAGAGAGAGGGAGGAGTGGACTTTGGGACGCTGGGGAGATGGCGAGGCATTAGCGGGGGACGCCGATACGGACCCAGAGCGCCCCGAAGAGCCCCTCAGCCCGCCCGTCCCTCCCGCTGCCCGACGGCGAGCGGCGACTTTCGGGTATGGGGATGAACCGCGCGTCGAGCAGCCCCGCGGGGAAAGGGAAAGGCCGAGTGAAAACGTAAGGAAGAAGGGAAATCAGACCGGAGAGGGCATCTCTGCAGGGGAAGGRGGGGCCGCTGCCGGGCATCCCAGCACCGGCAGGACGGGGAGAAGCCGAGCAGAACGGGAGGGGAGGGTCCCGACCTTCGTCCGCTGACTCTATGGTAAGATGAGCTCTCTCCGGGCAGGAAGGCTGTCAAGCTGAAAAGATCTGCCTGAAATCTCACTAGGAAAAGTGGGTTTAAAATCTATTTGAGTAGCAGTAGCTTCGCTGCTTCTCCTCTCTGCATGGTGCTGCACAGCGCTAGGAAAATGCRTGTGAACGACGTTGGCTTCTAAGACAAATCGTGCTAAGTCTAGAATGAAGGAGCGCTGGAGGGAGGGGGTTATCTGTAATTTTAATGATGTTAAAATTATTTAAAAGAATAGTCAAGGAGGCAGCTCAATTTGAAATTTAAATRTTGGAGTCAGTGAAAGTCTGGGGTCCCTCAGCCCTCCCTGAAGAAGGTGGGAACTCTGGCTTCCAAGTACTTTGCCAGTGGCACCGGTTGTTCCTGACCTCAAATACAGGCACATTGAGGCATCCTGCTCTTGGCACATGTAAATGGTCTGAAAAGTTTTGTTCCTATCATGTCGCTGGTTACTTGGGAGCATGTGAAAGGAAGGACGTAGCTCTCTAGCATTACACAGAATTAGGAACCACTGAGTACTTCTGCTTGCTCCAAAAGCTCAAGAACTCAAACATGCAGGCTCATAAGGGCAATATTCTTTGAACAACTGGAAAAATAGTTCCCTCTGCTTTAATCAAACTTTAATGTCAACCAGGGTTTAAAAAAAGTGGTAGTTTGCCCTTATGGAGGGAGGGATCTGTGCTTTTTTGAAGCATAAGTTTTGCATGTCTGTATTGATATTATCTCTTGCACACTTTCAGTAATCAAAAAGGAAAGGATTGAAGTCCTATTCTGTAACAACGTTTATTTGCTTAATAGGTAAAGAAGCAATGTAGCACACCTTGCATTTGTTAAACATTTATGAACAATTTTTAGAAACCAATGTTTCTAGATATTAGTGTTTAGTAATGTGACAATTTATCACATTGTATTTGTAAGATACTAGATTTTTCGCATTGTACCTCATCATTCACACCTATGGAGTATGTTCATCTGACAATAAGAGGTTATTAAAACTAATTAAGAAAGGGAGAGACCTACTYTTGCTTTGATTTAGAGCAATTCCAAAGCCAGRKTGAAGCTGAAATCTTATTCTSTTTACAGCATGACTATAATACATGRTAATAAGCATGTAGTGCCAGTTAAATTATTGTGTTGCAAAATACATAAATCCCTCTAATTTTCTTGTAATCATGCTCATAAAAAAATCATATTTAAAATTCTCAGACTAAAGTGAGGCTCAAGAGACAGGTTATGCAGTGGACAATGAGATATCAGAGAGCTGTTCTAGACTTTAATTTCACACTTTAAAGCATGTTAAGATCCTTAGAACACATCATCTATGTCAGAATGAGTGTTTCTCTTATTGAAAATATTGATGGTTTTTCTTTACCTATTGTGGTATGAAAACCACAGACAAGAAGACACAGGATTCACCYTCTATTACAACTGAAGGGTATGGCTCCACAAGAAGTAAATTGCCCTGACACAAGGGAGATAATAGTAGCTAATATCTATGTTATTTTCATCACAAAACAGGTTATGAGATATGCACGAGGTACTAAAACCATTTTTCTTTATGTCATAGCCTGAAATTTTTTTTGGTAAAGTCAAAAACAATATGGCTTAGGATTTTTTCCTTTTCTTTGATGATCACTGCTTTCCAGAAGGCARAAACAGAACTTTGATCCTGTCCTAAGAGATCCTGTATTTCTGCATTTTTGTTGATACATGTTGGTGCGATCTGTTCCATGAAAGAAACTAATGGCAACACACAGCCTTTAAAGCTATGCAGTGTATTGAAGATACTGAACAGTACAGGACAGTACTGCTGGCTTCCTTGAATGACCATGCTGTGCAACTTCTTTTCTAAAATTTCTTAATTATACTTTTAACTATGAAGAGTGAATACACTTCTACACTTGCATTATGAGGCAAACCACAATTGGTTTTTAGCCAGTAGTAAATTTTTTAAAAAATCATAACTCACATGAGTGTAAAGGAGATGCAGGAACTGTACTTGTGGCTTGCTTTTGAAATAGGAACATAGGGGCAACCTTGACATAGAGGACCCACAATTCATTTTATCTGGTAGTCTGTCTCTTAGAGTGGAAACTACCTTGTCCTTCAGGGAGGGATATGAAGAACTTCAAAACAAAGGTACCTAATCAGCTGTTCACAAAGAGTAGTTCTTACAAGCCACTCACAAAGAGAGGCTCTCTCATGCTCTTTTATAGACAATTGTACCTAAGATAAGATGGTAATAGGGTGATTGTTACTATCAAATCATTCTCAGTAAACCACATCCATTTTTCAGGCATGTACACTAGAATGTGAAGGRAAACTGCCTTCTGCCAAAGCCTGGGAGACCTGCAAGGAGCTCTTGCAACTGGCAAAGCTGGATCTTTCTGAGGATGGCAACATTGCCCYAGGAGACAAGAAGGAGTTGGATGAGAACCATTTGCTTGCGAAGAAGTATGGAGGCTTCATGAAAAGATATGGGGGGTTCATGAAGAAAATGGATGATCTCTACCGGGCAGAACCAGAGGATGAAGCAAACGGAGGAGAAATCCTGGCTAAGAGGTATGGAGGGTTTATGAAGAAAGACTCGGATGATGATGCCCTTGCCAATTCCTCTGATCTGCTGAAGGAGCTTCTGGGAGCAGGGGACAACCCTGAAGCGGCACACTATCGAGAGATAAATGAAAAYGATGGTGATGTCAGCAAAAGATATGGAGGCTTCATGAGAAGCATAAAGCGCAGCCCTGAATTGGAAGAAGAGGCCAAAGAGCTGCAAAAGAGATATGGTGGCTTCATGAGAAGAGTTGGCAGACCAGAGTGGTGGCTGGATTACCAGAAACGATATGGTGGCTTTCTTAAGCGCTTTGCCGACTCCATTCTCCCTTCAGAAGAAGATGGAGAATCTTATTCCAAAGAAGTCCCAGAGATGGAAAAGAGATATGGTGGTTTTATGAGATTTTAATACCTTTCCCTTTATCCCTTTTGTCCTAAATGAGAAAGACTGCCTTATTTGTCATAACTTATTGTAACGTGTTGCTTGTACTGTACAGTTTTTTACTGTCCTTGGTTCATGATGCAAACTGCGATTTGTTGTTACAAGTTCTTTGTTCTTTCAAGTCAAATAACTTGTTTAGTCAAGTTTTAGTCTGTATTGTAGTTTCCATGCTAGAACGAGTTTGATTACTGTATTCATTTTCTTTAAAGAGGAATACATCTACAGTAGAGTTGCTTAACTGTACATACAATAAATTCTTCATCCTAACTGCAAAAATTCTGAAGTGCTATTTTATTTTCTCTCAGTCATTTAATCAAATATCATCTAAATTTTTCTTTAAATCATCAGAGCAATGCCAACCTTTTTTTCTGTAATTACAGAATTTGTAGTGCATACACAATAGCCAAAACATATTTTTGGTTTTAGTTTTCTCAGTTTCTTAGAACACTAGAATAATAAATAAGCTCTAAAGCAAATATAACTGTATTTGCTCTAGCTGCTCRTATTTTAATCAGTTAACTGAAAAATATTTAAAGCCTACATTTATAATTCATAGTGTTCAACCAGTTGACATAAAAAAAGAAAGATTACAAGTGTGTTTGACTTTAAGCACTGAAATAATTTCTCCAGTGTACAATACAGTGGCATGTTTGATTAGTTACATCTTTTATATACATCCAGTATAGGACTGTGCACTTGGCCTTAAAATAATAAACACTTAAAATAATAAAATGTGGTAAGATAGTTTGTGCAAAATAAACATGACCTGAAACTGCATAAAAATACCCSATTTTACAGGGCATCTGACAATGGTTTTCATAGAATGGCTTTGTGTTTGATTCCTCAGCTGCTATAAATAACTTTGGCACAACTGAAATACAGGAAACTGCTGGCCAGACTTTTCTGTTTCAAACAAAGGCAGTATAGGTAAATCTGAGAACAAAGAGAAAAAAAGGCAGCACTAACACTGTAGATCCTTGGGCATTTAAATAGGTGGCACTTACATCAAAGGCCAGATCGCATTCCAATGTACAATTCCTTATGTAATTCTGAATGACCCCTTCTATTCCTAGTCTGTGAGCACTTTCCCCCCAGCTAATACTACTAGTTAGTGGTCATTTTCCACCTAAAGTACCATGATGAAAATTGCCTTGACCAYGGTACTGCCTAAAACCATCTGTGACTCTGCATTCCGTATCTGTATTTCAACGTCGCACAGTACCACCTAATTACATAAAGGGCAAATTAATGGTCTGACTTTTCTTTAATTTCAAGGCAATGGGATTGTCTACATACTCATGATTTGTAAAAGTTAAGATGTATTTCCAAATGCAATTGAAAGCCTCATCACAATTAGTTATGRTGATTTTAGGCTTGGCCCTCAGAGGATGATATAGGTGGTCTGAAGTGGTCAAAATCCTACTGAAGGCTTGCTAAAGTGCAAGGCATTTCTTTTCCTTCAATAAAAAAATGGGGCATCTATTTTCCTCTTTCTGTACAGATTTGATGATACAGAATTTTAAATGCYGGAAAATACAGGTGCCTGGAGAAGCTCCATGGCTTCTTCAGGATTCAGTTGTGCTCCCTATCACCTTTCTGTAGAGTTCTTCAAGATGCCACCAGCCACAGGAAGTCTTCCCATTCTTTCCTGGATGGCACTTGCCCATAGTGGCTGGAGAACASCACAATCACCACATCACCTCATATTGTGGTTTCATTCACAAGAACCTTGGGTTGGGCACACTGAGCCTGTTCTAAAGCACAAACCCACACACAAGATGCAGGGATCAACAACAGATTTGTTTCAAATGTACACTCCAGGAAGAATGAAAATTACATCCTTAATCTTTCACTTCAACATTTATTCACTGCTTTTCCCTAAAATGTTACTTACCTTTAATTTAGCCAAAGAGGGACCCTTGCTGGCCTTCAAACTAAAACATTGGTGTACTTGATGATGCAAACAGTTTACCAGTTATTGTTACCTATCCTTCACAGTTAACAGAATATCAGTAGTTTAACAAGGAATAAAACTCCCAAATCTCAAGAGCTCTAGTATGTCTATTGAAGAATAAAGTGTTTTGATCTCCTAAACCTTTACATTTATATCAATATGACATCTTTGATACCATCTTTGTTGCCTTTAGAGCCCTGAAATTGAGAGCCAAACAAGGTTAGGCGATAAAATGTGGTTATTGTTTTATTGAAGGTCCCTCCAAGTGCACAGCACACTGAAATACATGCTGCAAATGTGCTGAMGATGCACACGTGATATAGGACACGTCTAGTTTTATTAGTTTAGCAAATTAGCATAATTGACAAGAATCCCCAATTAGAAGCACAGGTGATGAGGTCATTCCCTCTCTTATTTCGATCCCATCTGAAGCCCCCCTTCCTTGTTAGTTGTTTATGGGAAAGTGTCTTGGGAAGGTGTCTTGATCTTGATTCCCATAAGAAACGAGATTAAAACAGGCCCTCGGGAATTTGTTTAATAGGAAGAGTACTAGAGTTAGGAAACTGTATAACTACATAATATGTCTGCACAACTAAAAATATATATGAAGGATATATAAAAGTAAAAATCATTTTGTTATCATCTTCCATGGCATACTCCTGGAAAAGCCAGCAGCCCACATCTTGGACAGGTGGGCTTTTCACTGGGTTAGGAACTGTCTGCTTGGTCAGACCCAGAGAGGGGTAGTGAATTGTGCTGCAGCCATTTGGTATCTGGTCACTAGTGGTGTTCCCCAGGGACCATTGTTGGGCCCAGTCCTGTTTAATATCTTTATTGATGATCTGGATGAGGGGAYTGAGTCCACGATTAGCAAATTAAGGGACCACACCACCAAGATGGCTGTGAGTACAGATCTGCTGGAGGGTGGGAGGGCTTTTCAGAGGGATTTGGACAGGCTGGATCGATGGACAGAAACCAACAATATAATGTTTAGAAAGACCAAGTCTGGGTGTTGCACGTTGGCCCCAACAACCTGCTGTAGTGCTATAGGTTGGGGGCAGAATGGCTGGAGAGCRGCCTGGTGGAAAAGGACCTGGAGGCTCTGGTTGACAGCTGCTGAACATGAGCCAGCTGTGTGCCAKCTGTGTGCCCAAGGCAGCCAAAGGCATCCTGTCCTGTATCAGGAAGAGTGTGGCCAGCAAGACCAGGGCGGTGATTGTCCCTCTGCACTCAGCACAGGTGAGGCCACACCTCAAGTCCTGTGTTCAATTCTGAGCCTCTCAATTCAGGAAGGAAATTGAGGKTCTGGAGTGAATCCAGAGAAGGATAATGAAGCTGTTGAAGGGTCCCAAGTACAAGTCTGATGAGAATCTGAGGCAGCTGGGGTTGTTTAGCCTAAAGAAAAGTAGTCTCAGGGGAAACTTYAGTGCTCTCTACAACTTCCTGAMAGGTTATAGCCAGCTGGGGYTCARCCTCTTCTCCCAGGCAACGGGATGTGAGAATAGTCTTGAGCTGCACCMGGGGAAGTTTAGTTTGGACATTAGGAAGAATTTCTTCACAGGAAGRSTAATTAGATATTGTAATGGGCTTCCCAGAAAGCTAGGGGAGTCACAATCCCTAGAGGTGTTTAAGGAAAGACTGGWTGAGACATTCAGTGCCATGGTCTACTTGAACACAGTGGTTCATGGGTTGGACTCAATGATCTCAGAGGTCTGTTCCAGCCTCATTGATTCTGTGATTCTGTGAATTTATGTAGAAAAACAAAAGTACTTGGCACAAACATCTAACTGGGATACATGCATGTAACCCAAAACTGGAGTAAGGCCATCCAAAGGGGAATAAGCCTCTTCCAAGGCTGAACAGGCAGGAGGCGATGTACATGAAAGGGGGATGTGACTGTGATTCTCCGAATGAAATAGCAAAGCTCAATAGTCCCCATTTCTTCTGTTATAATTGAAAATATCTCCAGACACTTTTTTTTTTTAATAATCACAAAAAAAAAAAAAAAAAAAAAAGAAAGTGAAATTAGAGTAAAATCTCATTTCTTCTGTTGATGTGGAATTTCTTATTTTATGACTTTAGTTATGCCATCATTCAGGCACTCTTTAACTCTAAAGTGTTCTAACATTTCCACTAATTAACATTTCAGATTAAATCAGCTCAAAATGTGCCAGTGAATCAATCAAGGTTTCCTGAATCACAAAGCAAAACTAAGTTTGAAAATAGGATCTACTGGGCTGGGAGACTGAGAAAGGTATCTCCCTCTTGGTCCAAGTTCTGAAAGGCTTCACTAATTTTCCTCTTACAATTTCCTAGAAATATCACTTCATCAGAGGGTTACTGAAATAGCTGTATTTTATATAAATAAAAGCAGAAAGGAGGAAAGCCGGATGTCTAGAAAGAAAATAAATTGCAAGAGTATTCTGAAGGAAGACATGTCATTCTGAGACCAAAACCAGGATTCTTCATTTCCTTTTCCTTGATTTTATCATTGTTCCAGAATATAATCATTGGTCTGAATACCAAGAAAGTATAAAATTAAAAAAAAAATTAATATGAACAATGTATGCTGGAAGGCTCCAAACCAGTCAAAGAGATTAATGCCACTGTATTAGGAACAAAAGGAATAAAAGGATTGTCTAATTGCGGTTAGACAAGAATGAATTGGACTTTTTAATAGGAACTAATTACAGGAAGGAACAACAAAAAAAAGTATTTCCTGAACTAGATGGAGTTCACATACAGGAGAAAGCCAGAAGATGATGAATACAATGATTTCCGAATACCAAACTGCTTGCAGCTGAAGCTCTGCCTGAAAATCTAATCTTAAATCTTGAAATAATGAGCAAAGGYCATAAATCTATTCCCACATTTCAGATGAACTTGGCATATTTTGTGAGCTGAAATATGCAGAGCATAACGTTGAATTTCCTGTTTGTTTTTTTTCTGGAAAAATAAAATGTAGTATGATATAAAATGAATATTAATAACTACAAGGTTATTACTACAATCATTATTTTGTAATTATTTCTAAATACTTATAATAACTTACTTTCTAATTGTTTATAACTATATCATAAATACAAGTAATTATAACATCTAATGTTGTTAGCTGTTTCAGATAATGTTTCCCAAGATAGAATCTTTAGAACAGAAACATGCGCTAATTTAATATACGGAAATAAGTATTATTATACTCTGTTCAACAGAGACTTCAAATATGCACTGGCACATTTTAATTCTGAAGGGAATTTAATTAACAAGAACCTAAATTTTCAGTTTATGGTGTATAAGGGCCACTCTGTCAGGTGGTTTTGGAGGTCTACGTGTATGGCAAAATGTCAAATACGTAACACAGCTCTATAATTTATGCATATATCTCGGTGCCTCAGAAAGTCTTCCTTACAGCTTTCTTCCTCAAGCACTAGAGAGCTCAACTGGACAYCAAAAAAATTCTTTTTTATACCAACAGGACCATGCTAGGAAAGGGAAATGAATGGTTAAATTCTCTGACTCTGGGTTGCTGTGAGAATGAAGAAATTCCTGGTACAGGTTAGCTGGTTCTGAAACCCACAACACCCCAAGAGTGTACTGTATTTCTGGTCTCAAAGCACTGAAGAGGGATCTAAGGAGTCAGACAGAGAACAGTGTAACCACTTCCCTATCAGTCACAAATATTCCATCCTTCTCTGCAGTTCCCTACAAGATCAGAGATTCAAGCTTCACCCATTAGACTAAACTTTSCAGTCTGGTCTCTT